CCGGCTGAAAAATTAAAATCGGACCACTTCCAACGCATCCAGAAATTTTGTAAAATAGTGCAGCAAAAAATTTAAATTGTAATTGCGCCAAAGCTAATGGTCCGACAGCGCCTGCTTTGTGCACACTTAAAGTACATATAATTCACTACTTTTGTGCACAGGGTCAGCCCTAATAGTTAAAAAATGGCGGAGCAATGAATTTAAAAAACAAACGCTAAATTTTCTGAATTTTCCGCGTTTTCTTCGTTTCTAATTATCCGATCGCATCAATCGACCTCTCGTTTTATTCGTATTTCGATTTCCTACAAATTGTCTGTGTATTCAGATCGCTTCGTTAATTTAGGTTTTATAAGCACAAACGTAAAAATTGCGTTTTTGATTTTTTATAAAAAAATAATTAATGGTAAATTGGAGTACGAGACACATAAGCATATATCTACAGACTGTATTTTATATGATGACAGTCTGTTTGCTACTAGTATTTTTGTCTTAAAATTACTGATTTAATGCTCTATTAATTGGCATATTTTAGAAGCCAGCCACTTGAAACAATTCTTAAAATGCAAAAATATATTAATTAATGTGTTTTGAATACAAATATCAATAATTATTTTACCAATTTTACATAATATTACTTACTCACTTCCCAAAGCTTGGAGTCAAATATTACACAAAAAGATAGATTTTTCCCCAAAAATATTTGCATAGGTATATTTTAATAACATAACAGATAACGTTTCACTTGCCCTTTGTTATAAAAACGTATAGGATACCTTAGGTGTAGTTGTCAACAATGTCTGTTATAAAAGATCAACTGAATGCACTTCTAGCTCTAAAAACTGTAATACTGCTTTTACATATATATACAGGGTACTTCTTACTTATGGTATAAATTATAATACATCATGGCATTTAACACTGTAAACCGGATTTGGTTCATTTCCTCTTACTTTAACTTTATACAAGAAAGAAAGTTATTTTCAAAATTGTGTTTGTGCATCGTACTTTACTTTAGCTATGAACATTTTTATATCTTCCTTTTTATTCCGCTTGATTACAAAAAATTTAATTTAAGAGAAAAGACACTTACAAAGAAAACATTTAAAAGTAATACAAAAAAATAATTTTAATTTGTCTATGTATTATAGTACCACACCCTATATAACCCAGATGGACTCTATGCTTAAGTTGTGGGAATTTTCTTTTTACATGGTTATATCATTTGTCTATTGTCCTACAGGATGCCCTGTGCAACATACCGGAATGTATCAATTTTTCAAAAAAAAAAAAAAAAAAATTGGGGTAAGTAAAGTACGATTAACATTCACGCCACAGTTATAAATTATTTTTAATTCCCCTCAATTCCTTTACCTTATTTAAAAAATCTACATTATAAAAAAATAATTTGTCCCTTATCCTTGCAATACTTTATGAATAAACCTATCTTTGGTCTTAATTTAACTACTGTTTTTTTTTCCAGGTTTTACATCACAAATTTTTCTTTAAACAATTTATATTTGGTACCAAAGTTTTCTTACTGTAAAGGTAAAAATATCAACTAAGAATAACTAAATTATTATTACTCCAGTTATTTTTCAGTTTCCAGTTTGTTTTGTGAAGTCTACTGAAGAATTAGAATTCATGGCACATATGACTTCTATTGACATATTTGCATGACCATCTTGATATTGAAATATAGAAAAAAGTAATAAAAAACTGACGACGTATTTAAAGATAAAAAAATATAGTATGTCCATAGACTTATTAAAACAAAGTTGTTCGTTAGAACATTTGAAACCAAAAAGGTTTAAGCTTTGATTGATTTTCAAGATATGTGGTGTTGTAATAAAAAAATAAATATATTTAGGTATTCAAATATCTCTTACTATATTTGATGCGGAATGATGAAACCTGAGTTAAGAATAACTTATCTGTCAGCTAATGGCGAGATATTGGCAGGCACTCTCGATAAGACCTCCCAAATTTTTATGCAACTGAGTATATTGTAAGTGCATTTCATTTATAGCGTTATTTTTTAAATAAAAAGGTGTTTCTTTCTTTATTCTTCATATTCTAGTCAGCTTCCAATTATTATCTTTTAAAATTTAAAGTATCACAGTTAAATAAATAAAAAATAATAACAAATATATTCTTTTCCTGAAAAAAAAAACAACAATTTTTTCCTTGGAAATATATTTTTAAAATTACTTATTTGAAGCAAGACGACATCCCCAAAATATACTAAACTTCTACGACAATACAATTTGAACATTTGTTAGTTATCCTGTATCTAAAATGACATTTTGAAAAACAACTTTGTTTTTGTTTGTGAAACTAACGATTTTAATAGTTATTTATTGTAGTAGTGTATAGTAGTGTTTTAAGTAGCATTTTATCCATGCAACGATGTTTAAACACTAGTGTTAAAAGTAACTTACTTTTAACACGCGTGTCAAAAAATGACATTTTTAACATCAAAATAGTGTTAAAAGTAACTTACTTTTAACACGCGTGTCAAAAAATGACATTTTTAACATCAAAAATGACAATTAAAAAGCCCACTTTTAACAGTTTTGTAGAAAAAATAGTGTATGATATACGTGTTAAAAGGGATTTTATTTTGTTCATGAAGTTAAAAAACTCGCTACGCTCGTTTTTTAATCATCTTCACTCACAAAATAAAATCTTACTTTTAACACGTATATCATNCATTTCATTCATTTCATTCATTTCATTCATTTCATTCATTTCATTCATTTCATTCATTTCATTCATTTCATTCATTTCATTCATTTCATTCATTTCATTCATTTCATTCATTTCATTCATTTCATTCATTTCATTCATTTCATTCATTTCATTCATTTCATTCATTTCATTCATTTCATTCATTTCATTCATTTCATTCATTTCATTCATTTCATTCATTTCATTCATTTCATTCATTTCATTCATTTCATTCATTTCATTCATTTCATTCATTTCATTCATTTCATTCATTTCATTCATTTCATTCATTTCATTCATTTCATTCATTTCATTCATTTCATTCATTTCATTCATTTCATTCATTTCATTCATTTCATTCATTTCATTCATTTCATTCATTTCATTCATTTCATTCATTTCATTCATTTTCATTCATTTTCATTCATTTCATTCATTTTCATTCATTTCATTCATTTCATTCATTTGACAATTTCTGATAGTCACTTAAATTTTGATTTCCAATGACGTAAAAGGTCAAAAATTTTAAAAAATTCTATCAAAATCAACATATTCAGAATTTGATAATTCCGAGTCAATTACATCAGATATGATTTATAGAAAAACTCGATAATAGTCAACAAAAAGTAGTATATAAATATACAGGGTGTATTTAAATGAAGTGGCACAAATGATACTAGTCCAGTATTTCATATTTTGTTACTGAAAGCTGTACGAGGGAAATTTGAAACCTGTCTGACTAAAACTTTAGAAATTATTAAGGAAAAACCAATTTTTACTTTTCACTTTGACACCTACATCTTTTTTGTTATAGGATTTGGGATATGGGTATATTAGATTAAATCAACTTATTTTCACCTATCTCTGGTAGCATTTGTGCCCTTTCATTTAAATACACCCTGTATAAAAACTTGTAATCTGCCGAAAACAGTTTAGACCGATCAAAATTAACTCATTTAGAGGGAAAAAAAAAAGAAAATTGTTACCTGGACTTTTATAAGTGGAAATGGTAAAGGGGCTTATAACAAACGAAAAAACAATAAATGCGTGAGCAGGGGCGGCGGAGGGTTGATTTGGGGGGTTGAAAAGTAATGAAAAATTGTATCATTGGGATTTCTGGCGAAATCAAACAAAAAAGTATCCAACACAAACGTTGTAGATCATGCAAAAATCTACAACTTTTGTAGAGGTCATTTTTAACATAACCTTTTGATGAATAAATGAATGAATGGATGAATAAATATGCGTATTCATGCATGAACGACTGAATAGAAAGATGTATGAATTCATAAATGGGTGGGTGGATAAAAACATGGATCCAGAACTCTGCAGCACGAATTATGCCATGAAAATGGCGTTTTTAAGTATTTTGATCTATTTTCTGTTTTTGATTGAAATTGGACCAACTTGTCTGACTGATGATAAATTGGAATTAAACGAGTGAAAAATCATACGTCTAGTGAGCTGGTAGAATAATTTGATTTTTTATAACTCGTCGTTCGTAAATGACGTTTTTTGTGAATTTTGACCGGTTTTTTAAATTTTCCCGAAAACTCAGACCCGTTGGGCCAAATCTGAAAGCAGATTCGGATTCAGCGGAAAAAAACACATGACAGTACAAGTGTTTGAATACCTGATCCGATCTTTTTTTTTGTGGGGCTGTAAATTTATCTTATTTAAAATAACTAAATTTTCGCTTATATGGGATGATAGGGCTCGTGGTAAACACCCATTGAACAAAAGTAACCCTCCAACGAGTAGTACCTCACGGCGGGTAGTGTAAAAAGTTGTTTTCTAACAACCTTTCCATTGAATTATGAGATTTGACAACAGACCATATCCCAATTGTGCATGCGCTGAGACCAATGCGCGCCGTTATTTGAGGTCACACTAGCTTGTCCAGTGGCGGGGTATGAAAAATTACTGGAAAAATGTTGAAAAATTAAGTTTTCACGATGAAATCTGAAAAAATAAACTATCGATACGTGTTTCTAGAGATCAAAGGTAGCCCTGTATAAATATGAACACCATTCAAAGTTACACCATGTATATTTATAAACAAAAATAGCTTTTAAATTATTTTTTCTAAAGTTGATACTGATACCTTTACGTTAAAAAGAGTGGTACCTACTACTGGACACACATATTTACAAGACTTTTGGGGCAAATAAAACAAACGACATGGAGCAACCAGTTCCTAAAAGTACATATTTTTTATATCCGATATATTATTGCACTGATAAATGTCTTTAATAAGTAACATGGGATGAATTCTATGCACTGTCCAACAGATGGTGCACCATTAGAGGGGTCGACGGCTTCGGTTTCTGCATTTTACTTTCCGGAACTTTACACTGTTTCGGGGCACTGTTAGTTTTGTTCTTCCTCTGCCGGGTCCATTTGTTAGGAGGATCCTCCTCTTCGGTTGAGTAGTTGTTCGTTTTTGATGAGGGAGTTACACAGTGGCTTTCCTAAACATAGAAAATATATTATTTTAAAAGACCCCCTATGTAACTTATTTTCCATAGTATGTGTTATCACGTGTCACAGAAATATCTATTATACCGGGTGATTTTTTTTACCGTGAAACTTGCAATATCCCGTGACATCTCGAAGAAGAATTAATGAATCGTTTTACGTTTTTTTTTAATTAAAGCTTATTTGATGCAAATGGGAAAATTATTGCGAATATCATCATCCCCTATTTTGGGGGTGGAAATAAAGGGTGAAAAGGTGAAAAAAGTGAAAATCGATTCTCTTCATTCAAAAATCTTATATCTTCGATAAATACAGTGAAATTAAGACACATTATGGTGGAATCAATGCTCAATTGAAACAAGTTATGGAAAAATTAATGAAAATATTTTCATCCCTATTTTAGGGTTGAGGGTGTGGAAAAATGAAAATTAAAGAAAATATGCATAAAAGGTTCTTGTTGTCGCTGAACACGAATAAAAGCATCACTAAAACAAAAAAACTCCTTTTCAGGAGCTGCTTTTATCACCCCCTGATTTAGGGGAAGAACTGAGGGGTGGAGGATTGAATAATAAAATTCATCTGAAATATTACCAGTCTTTCAATTATTCTCTGATCTTAAATAACACGGTAGACCATTTTCTTACATTTTCTTATCATCTGTAAAGGGTTCACGGTGATTTTTCATTATCCCCTATTTAAGGGAAATGGAAAAGGGGTTAAGGGTGGAATGTAAAAAGTAAAAGAAGGCATTTGTTGAGGGTTTTTGTGGTCCCTAGATAAGTAAAAGTTTATTTTTTCGTCGTCAAACTTCAAGTGTAGCTTTTATTAGTACGTGCTTTAAGGGTAGGAATAAGGGGTGGAGAGATTTTCGTCACTTGGCAAAAATAAAAAATCTGTCATTGGAAGGGGTTCGATCACTGTTTTTAATCCTCTCTTACTTTCTGGAGGTTTTTAATCACGTCCTCCTTAAGGGTGCAAATTAAGGTTGAGGGTTAAAAAATTAATATCTTAAAATAAATATTTGCTTGATTCATTTCCTTCCTTAAAATAGGGGATGATGAACAAAATGCTGATAGGTTTCGTGCTCATCGACGATAAACACCTTAATCGAAATTTTTGTTAAATTTTTTCTTTTTTTTTTCAATGTATATTTCCGTATATTTCTTCCATTGAACTAGAGGATAGATAATAAAAGCCATTTCTGACATAGGGGATGATTCCGAAATATAAGTTAGATGCGTTTTAAATACATCCCCTATGCAAAATAATGAAAAAAACATGTCAGATTAATGTTTAGTGAACATCAAAAACCTCCGATAATAGTTTTGTTGATTTTTGATACTTCATATTATCATCACTTCTTATTTCTACCTTTGAATAACAATAAAAAAAATTTTTTACATGTATTGATTAGCTTACTGTAAGAAAATGCGTATGCTTACAGTAAGCAAACATTTATACATATACAATATTCGGTTGAGATGAGTATTGTTCTCCTGATCTTCCTCTATCCGACATCCATTTCCATTTCTTCCGTTCTCTAATGAAGAACCCTCGACCAATTTCCTTTAATGATGACTAGAGAGCGGACAATGTGTGACTTTAACCCGAAGAATAGGTCAAATTTTGGTAGAGATGTGTACGCGTTCAAAAATGTATTGTGTATAAACTATGCAAAATATAATTATTATGTATAGCAAATATATCGTATTATCCTCGCGAAGATTTGTACCCTTTATCTAAAATCCATAAATCATGTGAACAGGTTAAATAACGAGAAAATAATTAAGTCAATTTAGTTCTAAAGAAATGAAATGACACTCGCGCCCATCTCTAGTCCATCCGTCGACATCGGTTGCGTTTATCGAATTCCTATTGGTCAGAATTCAAACTGCAGCCCTGTTATGAATGGAGCGTGAGTTGGACTATCTGTCATGTGCGTCGCCTGAGGCTATTCGTTACATTGACTCCTAATTTCCAATTAAAAGATCGACACTATTTTTAACCGAACTTTATTTAATAAATATGTAGTATACAATTTCTGATTTTCAAAATATTTTATAACGCCTAAAAATGTATGTACCGTGGAATTTTCGTGAATTATCACGTAAATTTCCGATGCATACCCGACACGCCACTGCGTCATGGGTAATGTATCTAGGTTTATGAATGACATATATATTATTATATTTTATTGTTTATAGTTGTTGTTTTGGTATTATTAGTAATGTAATGTAAGTAATGGTGTTGTGTGTTGTTGTATTATGTGATGGTGTGTAAATTTTGTGTGTTTATAATTATTAAATATCCGTTTGGGCGCCTTTTATAATGTAAAATGTCATTTGGGTGTGTTTATATCTAATTTTCCATTGAGCATAGGTTCTGATAAGAAAATTTTATAATAACACTGACAAATATAGACGAATTAGACTTTCTTACCTTATCATTGCTAACATCGCCTCCGGCAGCTTTACTTTGTATAAATAATGTTCACAGTGTAGATAGGATTTTATTAGTGTAGATAGGAATGTTCATTTTCTACACTGTCCCTCAAGAAAAAACACTTTATTTTATCAATAGCATGAGTCCTTACCTCATAGGGGCGGTTCTATGCTCTTTTAATTAACCTTTACTATTTAATTTTTGGTAGGAAGCATTGAATAAACAAAATTTGAAAGATTTACACAAGATGACATTTATTACTTATTTTTCTTTCAATTTCAAACAATCCTTTTCATGAACACAGAAACTAAAATTTTCTTTATATACTTTTACATGAATAATTGTCTGAGAAATGCCTTATTCTACCTATTATAGTTTAGAAAATGTTTGGTTAACCAATTATCATTATTTTTAAACGTTTTTCAAAACATATTAACTTATATCACCAACATTGGAAACTAAATTAATACTTAAATTATAGAATGTTCAAAAATGTCAATCTAAATCTTAATCACTGAAATTGTTTATAGTCGAAACGGGTTTTCTGTTTCACAAATAGTTTTTATAGTTCAAATTTGCAACACTTTATGGCATGGAGAAAACAGTTATGCAACTGGACTTACTTTATTTCGTTCTGCCTGGCAATTTGCGTACGTTTCTATAACCTCACTTTATTATTGTGGTTTGTCTGCTATTCTCGTGCGTTGAAGATGGCTGTTGGGTATGTGTATAGTGCTTCCTGGTGTTTTAGATGTTGTATAGGGGAGCCACAGGACAACATGCACCCCTCACCAGTCTCTCGAATCTCCTGCTTTCTTCACCTCTCTACAGCTTGTTGACTTCTCACGATGTTTTTTTTGTTTTTCCGGTACCAGGTAAATTCACTGATTTGGCCTATTGCCATTGGTTGCTCATATCCATGTTATCATTTTCTAAGTGCGCAATTTCTCTAGCATATTGCGATGAATTTGATTTTAATTACCTTACGGCGTAATTTACATTTTATAACTGCGTAGTAGATTTTATACGTCTTAATACTAATTTACAAGAAATTTTTATATGATATTTTGCATGACAAATTTTTTTATAAGAAACTTCTAGCCTATGTGTTTCTGATGTTATAATATTTGAACTTTCTTTTGTACTAGATTATTTAACATTAATTTACTCATAAAATCTCTAAATTGCCCCTTTTTGTGGCATTTTCTTTTACCTTCATGCTTCTCCTACGTACCTAAAATTTATTTTCTTGACATGCTTATCATTTAAAACGTATTATTTAAAATTTTGACTGATAATGTTTTAGGTTTTATATGAAATAACTATGAAATGAGCTTTTTATTTTTCTTTAAAAGTAATTTATGTCTTTATTTTATTCTCCATTATAATTTCATGAAAATTTTCTATGCTATTTCTCGGTGTTGTGTCTTGAGATACAGTGTGTTCATTTCAATATGTTCAAGGTTAAAGTCACAAATTGTCCGCTCTCTGATGATGACGTCGTGCTTCAAGATTGACTTGGTGAATTCTTCACTTCTACATCACGGAATTTCTTTAGATGTGGAAAAGAAAAACTACTAGGTCGTTAGCAGCCAATTGTATATAACAGAGGACAATATATCCCTGGTTTGTTCATATACAGCCTGTCTACTATAAGAGGGCCACTCCTATGGATCTCGCTTAATATACAACGCACTTCAAAAATCTTTATACGTTTTTTTGTTGCATTTTTTGAGGCCTTGATGCTTGTAAAAACAAATTTCAGATCCATGGCCAACTTTATAAGTAGTCATAAAAAACCGGAAAAGTACCGAAAGTTTAGGGAAACTTTTTTATTTTAAGAGGTAGAAAAAATTTATTTTAATAAAATTTCATGGCAAAATTCATATCTTTCACCTAGTGTAAACAGATTTATAAATTATCGTATATAATTTGCTGCGACCTCTACGCAGGTAAAAAGCAGGCAGCAGGCTGTGATTACAAAAAATTACTTGTTTCATGCGGCATACTACATATAGCCTGTATCATTTATATTTATTACATTTTTACAATTTTGGTATAAAAAATTTAAACATTTTCGTGTTAACGTAGAAATTGTTGTAGACACGTCAACTACAAAAAATTAATAAATATAATGTACTTTTCACATTATTATAATATTGGTTTTTTACTTTAGAGAAAACAAAGCCTTCAACATTGTTCTTGCACGGACAAAGTAGCTTACGCTAAATGTAGCACGCTATAAAAACAAATGCGTGTTATCAACCCTTGTAATGTCATTATTTAACAAATTGTTTATTGCTATAATTTATATACATAACTGTTGGTTTGAAAATTGTTACAGTTCACTGATTTGAAAAACTATAATTTTGAATAATTATTATATTTTCACAACATATTGAGAAGTGTAATATGTTTGCATTGTACTATCAATGCAATTTCAAATCTATTCACGCACTTGTGGAATATAGAAAACTTTTGCTAATAAAATCAGCTGTTATTAGTAAAATAGGTAATGTTAACAGAATTTTAAATTATGTAAATATGAAAAATTAGCAAAATAGTGAGAGACCGAAGTAAACTACAATTTAGAGAAGGATAGTGCAAGAAGGATATTACGAAAAATGGTTTCAAATGTTATAAGGTGAAAAAAAAGTGCATCTCTTGAGGGTGGAAGATAAACCAATGAGATTAGGGTTCTATAGGTGATGACAAGAAGGAAAGAGGGAAGATTTTATATGCAGAAGAATTCTCTGGTCAGATGTCTAATGGTGTCTAATTTTTGTAACTATGGATTTTTTAATAGAAACATTTACTTCAAATGGACTAACGGTAATTTACATTGGCACTGAGAATCTGCATTTCAACGGAGGTTTTCAATAAACGTTTGGGTTAGAATTCTTGATACAAAAATCACTTGACTTTACTTCTATGATGGTAAACTGATGGGTGCCAAATATTGCAGAATCCTTAAATAAAAGAAGTACATTATTTCATTACATTTTTTGTAGTTGGCATGTTTAAAACAATTTCTACATTAATTTCCATTTTTGATACTAAAATTTAAAAAAATGTGATAAATATAAAAAATAAAGGCGACATGTAGTACATCGCATAAAAGAGGAAAAAAACAAGCAATTTTTTGTATCCACAGCCAGCTTCGATGACATTTTTTTTTGTCCGAGTAGAGGGCGCAGCAAATTACATACGATACTTCTTAAAATTTGTTTGCATCAAGTGAAAGATATCAATTTTGCCATGAAATTTTATTAAAATAAATTTTCTCTACCTCTTAAAATAAAAAAGTTAGACGGCCTTAAACTTTCGGTACTTTTCCGGTTTTTTTATTATTACTTATAAAGTTGGCCATGGGTCTCAAATTTATTTTTACAAGCATCAAGGCCTCAAAAAATGCAACAAAAATATATAAAGATTTTTGACGTAGATATTGTATTAAGCGAGATACATTAAAGTGTCCCTCTTATATTAGAAAACCTGTTTTAGCCATGAGAGTATTGACGTATCAGTCGGTGTCTTTTTAGTAATATATGGACTCTGGACGGCAAACAACGCTTCAATAATCGTTAATATTTGTATTTTTCTTTTTCTTATCCTCATTTGAGGATTATATTGCAGATACTAATACAGAAACAAGTTCAAATTATGTATTTACTTACAAAATGTGGACTGCTGTCGTATTCCTTGGCCTTGTTGCTAAGTTCACTTTTCAACTGCCAGCCCTGTAGGTACACGTGAGGGCTGAGAAGTAGCTCTCCTCTTTTCATCCTCATAATTAGGTGCCATCTAAAGAGCTCCTAGATTAATTTTCGTCTAGCAAATATGCGCAAAACATACCTTGTCACTAATTGAAAAAGTCTCGACTTCTGACCAGATCTACGTAGGATCTTGGCTGCGCCTATAACAGCCTCTTGATGGGAGGCCGATATCTTTAACGATTTCCAGTAGTAGCGAAGAGCGTCTTGATAGTTACCTAATGAATAACACAGCGCTTAAGTATATACAAAATATAGAATCATAGCGAAAAATAATAGTTTTTTCTCCTTTGGCTTCTTTGTTATTCTTGGTATTGATTATTATTATTAACAGTTAGTATATTTTTACTGTAACACACATAAAGGTTGTATTTCAAAAAAAGAAAAGTAACTTACAAATTCTACTAGGATTTAAGAGCGACATATTCTTTAAATAGTGTTTTCCACAAAGACAAATAATTTCAAATATTTAATAACTGAATAATCTAAAGCTTATAAAATAATAGGAATGTTATGTCATACCATCTGGTTATTTTCAAAAACAACGAGGCAGTAAAACGAATAAACATGTGCAAAAAACGATCAAACCATTAAGGTTTTAGGTACTGAAATCTACGAAAATACAAACCATTTTATACAGGGTGGACAAATGAAAAAATGAAAACGGAGCCATTTTCAGGAACTGTGTGAAGATTGTAGAAAAACGCTCAGACCCGTCGATTTTAGATTAAACATTCTATGCTGATATTTTTGACTCCGCCACTTTCACCCCCAAGCAAGGCTAAGCATTACCCCAAAATATTTAAATGGCATTGGGGTTGAGTAATATTTCTTTTGAAAACTCTTACAATTCTCTTTACAACAGACTTTAAATTTTATAATTCCGCCCAATACCTATTAAGAATTTTGATTTTAAAGTTGAAACTTATGTACAAATAATTAGTAACGGTAAAAATGTCAGTCATTCAAGTTAAGTACGTCAATGGTATAAATTTAGTATTTCTTGCGTTGCATTGGATTTTGGCGATTTTCTTAAAAAAAAACACAATTGTAAAAAACTATGAATGAATGCTATCTATACACACACAATGAACGTAAAATCAGTGGATTCCAAATTATTTTCTAGTATTATTTGGAAGCGTTGGTTAGTAGTTCATTTAATTGTGTTTTTGAAAATTAAACACTATGGTTTATTCCATTGCGGAAAGGGTAGATATCATTTCGCTTTACTTTATGAACAAAAAATATGCGAATAGAACAGCTCAGCTATTTAATGAACAACATCAAGATCGACATGTCAGGAGGAAGTATGTTCTAGAGTTAGTAAAAAGAGACAGGGAACGTAGACATAAAAAACGAGAGATTGAAAAACCTATAGTTAATGAAGCTAGTGAAGTTGCAGTTTTCGGACAAGTTCATCTTGATCCTACATTAAGTACGAGGCAGCTGGCATCTGTGTCTGGGGTCAATCGAACTAGCATACAAACCATTTTGAAGAAAAATAAATTCCATCCATACAAAATACATTTAGTCCAGCAACTTCATGAGGATGATTATGACCGCCGTTTGCAATTTTGCGAAATAATGAGTGAGCGAGCAGGGAACGATCCACAGTTCCTTTTTAACATCTGTTTTTCTGATGAATGCAGTTTTTTCTTGAACGGGACGGTAAATCGTCACAATTGCCGCTATTGCTCCGATTCAAACCTAAGAGTTTTTCACGAGGTGCAACCGGAAATATTAAATGTATGGGCTGGAATTTTCGGTGACCGGCTGGAGGGTCCTTTTTTTCTACCTGGTAATTTGACTGGCCAAATATATTTGCAATTACTGGAAGACGCTATTGACTCTGCATTGACTGATATTATTGAAAACATTCCAGAGTATGATGAAGATCATTTGATTTATCAACAGGACGATGCTCCTCGGCATTATGCGTTAATTGTCCGTCAGTATTTTGAACAACGTTTTCTACGGAATTGGATTGGGGGAAGAGGCAGCATTGAGTGGCCCACACGATCACCAGATTTATCGCCCCTTGATTTCTTTTTGTGGGGATACCTGAAAAGTAAAATCTATAAAACACAGCCAGCGTCGCTGGAAGATTTGCGTCAAAGAATCGTCGACGAATGCCGTCGAATAATTCCGGAAATGCTTCGGAATGTGCGCGAACCTTTCGAACAAAATCTTTATTCTTGTATGAAAGCGAGCGGTCATCAGTTTGAACATTTAATCAAATAAGTAGTAAGTAAGCAACTAAACATAATTTAAATTTTAAAATGTAATTTTTTTTCTAAGTATTGGGCGGAATTATAAAATTTAAAGTCTGTTGTAAAGAGGGTTGTAAGAGCTTTCAAAATAAATGTTACTCAACCCCCAATGCCATTTAAATATTTTGGGGTTATGCTTACCCTAGCTTGGGGGTGAAAGTGGCAGAGTCAAAAATTCCAGTAGAGAATGTCCCCCTTTAATCTAAAATCGACGGGTCTGTGCGTTTTTCTACAATCTTGACGAAATTCCTGAAAATGGCTCTGTTTCTTTTTCATTTGGCCACCCTGTATATAACTCTACATGTAAATATTCTTATAACATTTTTTTTAGTTATTATTTTATTTGAGTAAATTTAAATAGTAACAATCAATAAATAGAACACCAAGGATTTTATTTTCGTGTTACTTTTGTTCTACACGTTTTACTTTTCAGGATTTCAGTACATAAAAACGCCAGAAATTTGACTATTTCTCGGTCAGGGATATGGCCACCTTAATACGTCTATAGCTAAGTGAAATAACTCCAATAATATACTGAAATACATACCTAAGGAATTTCCAATGATATTGATTATAAAATTTGGAATAAAATTAGAATTGAATTGAATAAATATTGAAAAAAAGGAATTTGAATAATTTATACAGGGTGAGTTTTTTTTTTGATGTTTAGTGAAGGGATCTGGCAAAGTAACAGAGATACAAAAAAGCTTAAATGACGAAAGATGTGCATTTTTATGATCCTTATTAAATGTTACTTTTATTTTTTGAAAAAATGTCATGGCTGACTAGATATTTGGAAAAATCCGAATTCGGCCAATTTCTTCAAATGCGTGTAGCTCCATTGCTATTTAGTTTACAAAAAAAATACAAAGTTTCATGTTATTGCAGTATTAATAAAATAGTGTGATCAAATTGTTCGTGTACAGTTTCCTTTTCAAGACATAAACTTAAGTTTCTTAAATGTAAACCATAGTTAGCTACGAGTTAGAAAACATTGTCTTTTTTATGCTTTCCAACGATATACTATTCGGTATTGTTATTTTGAAAAACGGGATAACTGCAGCAGGAATTTCTTAACTATTCAATTGCTTGGTGACGTAGATGGCTGTGAAAACAATCGAAATATTTACTGACAACGCTTTTAGTTACTGTAACATTACATAAGTTACTTTTCTTTCTTAAAAGTCGTTTCAATTGCCAAAGACAATGAATTTTTGCTCAAACGAGCAAAAGCGTGATATTATTGAGTGTTATATTCGATCAGGAAGCTTTTGACAATATTGATACGCGTTCTGTGAGAAAAGCCTCAAATTCTGCTTCAAAAAGATGTATCTTGTGCATTAATAACAACGGTGAGCTTTTTCAACAATTTCGTTAATATCTTCAAAGTAAATAATGGTTTGTTTATAAAATTCTGATATTTTTTGTGTCTTTGTTAAGTATTTAATTTACTTACCACAAATGATTTCCATCATTATAATTTAAATTCCTTACGAAAATAAATCCAGTTGTTACTTATTATTATTGTTTTATTTAAAATATGCCAGTCGCACACTGCTCCGGTGCTCTGATACATACACAGGTGCTCACGCGATACCGACTTCAATTGTTCTGATTTTATCCGTTGGATTGCGTATAAATTTTTGAAGTTTATGTTATAATTTGAAAATGAAAGTGTACACGAACAATTTGATCAAACTGTCTTATTAACACTGCAAAAACTGAAACATTGTAATTTAAATTTTTTGTGAAATAAATAGCAGCGGAACTATACGCATCGGAAAGAATTGGCCGAATTCGGATTTTTCTAAATATCTAGTTAGCCATGACTTTTTTTTTAAATAAAAGTGATTTAATAAGGATCAAAAATCTGCACATCTTTCTTCATGTAAGCTCGTTTGTATCTCTGCTACTTTCCCAGATATCTACATTAATCATCGAAAAACAACTCACCCTGTATAAAATGAAATAGAACTGTTTAGAGAATGGATAAAGAATTACATTTGGAAACTTAAATTAAAACACATATTGTTATTAGACACAGAAATATTGTAAAATATAACAATAAATTATGTAAAATTTAGATAGTAAGGTAAAACGCGTGTGAATAAAGAAAAGTGATACAAAATTTAAAAAAATGTAAACATGAAGACATGTATATTTAATCAGAAATAAAAGAATCAAAGTGGGACACTATATATATACTAGTTATTTATTGTATAAGTGGTTTAAGTAGCATTTTATCCACGCAGGAATGTTTAAACGCGAGACTTGATATTTCTTTACTAGTTTACTCAATGATACGTGGTAGGTTTTGTTATATTTACTGGTTGCTATAGTACGTCGTTTATTATCAATTATTTAATAAACAGTTCCATCTGAATTTGGTAAAAATGCAAGAAAGTAATTGTGTTCCTGTGGCTGTTTTTGAAGAAGCTCAAGAGGCAATTTTCCATTTATTGTCAGCGAAATCCTGGGAACATTACGGAAAAGTGTTCGCCGAATTTAACGAATGGAGGGAAAAATCGAAGAGTAACGACAATAAATGAAGAAGTCATGCTATCGTATTTTTTAAATTTGAAGACAAAAAATGCAATTTTATATATGTGGTCGAAGTATTCGATGTTGAAGGCAACTATAAAGGTCTACAAAAATATAGATATAGGAAAATATAACTTACTGCTTATTTGAAGAGTGAATCGAGAGGATACAAAGCGGAAAAAACTGCAGTATTGGAAAAAGAACATATTGAAGAGTTTTTGACTCCGATAAAGAATATTTAATGATTAAGGTAATATCTCTTTACCTTTTACATGTTGTTAGTATATAGTGAACTTTGAATTATATTAGTTGCACTAATAATGGGGGTTTCTGGTGTCTGTTGATGCTGCGAGTTGACAAATTTGAAAATTAGTGACATACAGGACGTGGGCAGTTACCTACTTGTTTCAATACCTGACACCAAGACGGGCATTTCAAAAAAATTTACAATTATAGAATAAGGATTTTTCCTGAATAACTCTCAAACTGTTGTAATCAACACATTGGCGAAGATACCCTCAATAGTTGCTTCATTCTTGAATATCGCAAATCTAGAAGCATATACTGGCCATTGTATGAGGCGCACTTCAATAACTTTATTGGCCAATAAAGATGCTGATCTTGCAACCATCAAACGGCATAGTGGATAGAAGAGATCCTCTGTAGCAGAAAGTTATGTTGAGGAGTCTATCTAACAAACTTGTATCCGTATCTTGTAGTGCAAATTAATCCGAAAATGGTGGCAACAATGCTACAAGGGTTGTTATTAAAGGAAAGGAAGTTAAATGTGATAAAACATAAAACGAAATGTCTATTACTCTAAATGTGAATGTTAAAGTTTAACAAGTAAATAAATTATATTTTGATATTTATTATTGGTTTACTATTTTTTACATTATTCTACTAGTAAAATAAAGTTACATTATTCCACTAGTGGATAAAATATCACTTCAGTCGATTCATATGTGTGGATAAAAGTCCAATTGTGGATAACAAAATTTTGTATGGCAACGGGGGTTGAATTATTGATTTTCAAAAAAAAAAAAAGAAAGGAATGCTGAGATGTCATTACAATCTGACATAAATTAATATAATCGGAGAGATAAAATACAAAATAATTAGCGAAAATCAATACATTGTCAACCAAATACTTTTCCAAATAAGAAATAGAAGTTAATACAACATTATAATCCAGATTTGGCAGTTCTAATAGGATGGAGGGAAAACACGAAAACAGAGACTCGAATTCAAGTAAAGGAATGAACCAGAATATAGGAACATTATAAGACCAGTGGACTATTACATAAAGAAAGTACTGGATAGTTTATTAGTAGGTGAATAAACATAATATGTTTAATAACAAAACAGATATTAAACAGAACAGAATATTAAAAATCAAATTAACGTTAATTTTAGTTATATAAAAACTTGTTTTTAACTATTTAGAATGAATGTAGATATAGAATATAATAAACTGAGTACCTATAAATAATTAACAAAATGATGATGATAGTTATTTCGAAAAATCAAAACATTTCACAGCGGTTGAGAAACAAATTTTGTTGATATAGTTTCAGTGATAAATAATTTACTTAATTTTCCAAGGAAAATACATGAATTTAAATGGTGTTTCATTTGGTGTATTATAAAAGAAATATATTGTTGCATGTATATTTTTACTTTATTTTTAAAATATGAAGTTAATTCACATAAATTCTCAAATGAGGCCAAACAATGTTCGTTAATACCAAAATCTAGTTATGCAAAATATGTACAATCTTAGAGACAAGATTAAGACAAGACTTAACTGCTGGCACTGCTGAAACAGCTACTTTTCGGACCACATGCCCGATTAGCATTGATTTATACCATCAATACCTAATATTGTCAATTAATAATATTTAGATACATCACATTACATTTTTATTTTAGATAATTATTAATTACTACCCATTTACTAGATATCGCTGATATAATTCAACTCCAGTAAATCAGCAGGGCTTCAACAAATTGTTTAAGTGATTTTTATGATGGCAAATCCTGTTCAATAATCGTAAACCTAATCGCCTGTGGGATTTTGAGGAGATTATAAGTAAATATCTAAATCTGAGATTACTCACCCTTCTCGAGGAGCCAGTGACCAAAGGTGGTGCCGTAATAGGGGTCGGTGGGATTCAAATCTACCACTTTCTTGAGCAACCGATTCACGCTCCAGTCATTCGGGCCACGAAGGCGCGCCAATTCGATGTAAGCCGGAGTAAATCTCGGCTCCAGCGAAATGCACCTCTGTAGCATGTGTTCGGATTCAGACGATCTGTTACTCTTCCTAAAAGCCACGAGATGAAGAATAAATAGTCCTGTCATAAGTCTTGAGAATAATTATAATTCTCGGGAAAGAGTGAAGGCTTAATAATCTCACAATCCTTTTATTAAGACGACTAGTTTCGAGGTCTACACTTTGCACCTCATCATCAGGTCATTACAAGGCTACAAAGTTAATTTTTTGAATATGCTAAAGGTATACAATGTTTTTAAAAAAACTTTTAATAAATAAAGCTATATGTGCATACTTACATATCACATTTACAAGGTTATGTGCAAAATTTGGAAAATTCATCTAAATAACCAGTTTATCAATTGTATACTTAATAATATCTTCGTAACGTTTAATTTTAAAAAACATAAAACATTTACTGTAGACAATGACAATACACAGTTACAAGTACAAAACTTATTTTAAAATGAAATTTTATCTGAGAGGTATGAAAGCCAAAATTTTTTATAACATTTTTTCAAAGTTGTTTTTTCAATTTAACGAAAACACCATCTACTGGGTAAATAAGAGAGTACCATCTGTGACGGAGGTAGGCAACCAGAAAAGCAAAATATGACAAATGGGATAGTATATACCAGAGGTAAATAAAACTGTTGATTCAAATCTACAAAAATATCGTTAGGTACACATATCTTTACCTCCAATAATTTTTTAGGTTAACCAAACATAATCTAGAATTAAGGAAGAAGTGCGGCAAAAACTGGTGATTAATTTAAACCTACTACTGTATTTATTGTACCAGAATTATTATTTTTCATAGACTTCTGAATTTCAAAGAGTTCTAAATTATTAAGGAAATGTCCCTTATCATTAGTAATATGTAAAATTCTAAAGCCAATGTTTGGAGAAAAATTATGATTAAATTCAAGTAAGTGATTAGCAAAATGTGAAAAACCAGATGAATTAGGCCTAAGACAGCGTAAATGTTCTTTTAATCTAATGTCAAAACTCCTAAAAGTTCTACCTATATAAACTGCATTACAAGTGTCACAAGAAAGTCGATACACACCTGCTTTATTTTTATTATCAATTTTATCTTTATTATTTAAAAGGAAATTTCCAATAGAATTATTAGTTTTAAACGAAATAGTGAAGAAACCTTTAAAAATCTTACGAAACTTATCTGAAATATTACCTATATATGACAAAGAAAGAAATTGTGTAATTGACTGTTGATTTTGGTTATTTACATTATAGATTGATTGTTCTAAATTTCTGCGTCGTTTTTTATTTAATAAATTATCTATTAGTTACTTAGAGTAACCATTTATTATCGTTCTCTGATAAATAACATTAAGTTCTTTTTTAAAATTATTTTCATTTAAAGGTGTTTTAAGTAATCATTATTAATAACTGTACCAGTATGTGTCGGCTTTCTGTACACTTCAAACCCTATATTATTGTTAATTAAAGTTAATGTTAAATCTAAAAAGTTAATTTTGTGTTCGTTGTTCTCTATTTCTAAAGTAAATTTAATTTTTTCGTGAAGCGAATTGACGTAAACCAAAAATTCATTCAAATTATCTAAACTACCACTCCAAATTATCAAAATATCATCTACATATCTAGTATAAAATTTTATGTATTGTGAAAAATTGTTCCCGTTCAGAATCTTTTTAGATTCCAACTCATGCATGAAACGATCTGCCATGATTGGTGACAAAGGACTACCCATTGCCAAACCATCTTGTTGTTAAAAATAATAATTCTGGTATAATAAATGCAGTAGTAGGTTTAAATTACTCACCAGTTTTTGCCGCACTTCTTCCTTAATTCTAGATTATGTTTGGTTAACCTAAAAAATTATTGGAGGTAAAGATATGTGTAACGATATTTTTGTAGATTTGAATCAACAGTTTTATTTACCTCTGGTATATTCAATCCCATTTGTCATATTTTGCTTTTCTGGTTGCCTACCTCCGTCACAGATTGTACTCTCTTATTTACCCAGTAGATGGTGTTTTCGTTAAATTGAAAAAACAACTTTGAAAAAATGTTATAAAAAATTTTGGCATTCATACCTCTCAGATAAAATTTCATTTTAAAATAAGTTTTGTACTTGTAACTGTGTATTGTCATTGTCTACAGTAAATGTTTTATGTTTTTTTAAAATGAAACGTTAGGAAGATATTATTAAATATACAATTGATAAACTGGTTATTTAGATGAATTTTCCAAATTTTGCACATAACCTTGTAAATGTGATATGTAAGTATGCACATATAGTTTTATTCGAAACTAGTCGTCTTAATAAAAGGATTGTGAGATTATTAAGCCTTCACTCTTTCCCGAGAATTATAAACATGGACTCACACTTATCTATTTCAAATTTGAGAATAATTGTTGGACAGTACTGTGTTATTACAACTTGGGATAAACGTTTTAATGAAGGCTGGATGTTTTGAGGATGTCTTTGATCCAAATAAACTTTCTATATGACTAATTATATTGTGCCAGCTACTTGTTATGAATTACACCCCATCTTGTCAAATTGGTTGTCAGTATAAGCAAAAAATGAAATGAAATTATTTATTTATTAGAAGAGTGTGAGTTATCCAAAATGTATAATCTTGAACAACTCAACATTTTTATAATAAGAGGTTCAGATTAGCGAGAGATTAAATGAACCAAAAAAACAGTGTCGGCCTTTGACTTCCATAACAGGGAGGGCGGAAAAATTTAGATAGGAACTATTGAAAAAAGAATAAAATATAATTGGGTGGGTAGTTTTATTTTAAATACTATTGAAATATAGGAAAAATGTACTTAACATAATTTTTTTAGTGAATATCCATACGTCTATTCTATTTCAGTTACTTTTTCATTAAAGTTTGGTATTTGTCGCACCATTGATTTTTCAATAGATAGCATTGTAAGTGCTACAATCAATTTAAATTGACAATTACACTTACAATTTGTGGGTACACATGTATGCAAGTGACCCATTTTAAGTATCACGTTAAGAGAGCCAGCCTGACGCCGAACCAGTCTAACCGTTGCAAGCGACAAGAAACAGAGAAAAAGTGCACTGCACATTGGCGCCAGGAACTGAATATACAGGGTGTTTCAGAAAGACCTCCCGTAAATACAGGGGGTGATAAAATAAGAATTTTTTGTCATATGAACTATATGTTTATCTCCTCTTGTTTTCGAGATACAGAACGATAAAATAAAATTTTTTAAATAGAATTTTTAAGAAAATTTCCAAACGGTGAGAAATATTTTTATAAAATTTGGTACTCCGGGGTTTTTAAGGACGCCAAATACGCTGGTACGGTGTATAAAACAAATGACTTTTCTCAAAGTAGGCTTATGTCAAAACTTATTGATGGATGTCTCGTAAACAACACATATATTCTTAGTAATGTTTTAAACTTTAATTAATTTTATATCAAAATTTTAGTGACTGTAATTAGTCATTACTAACTAGACACTAAAAATTATTATTTTTTCGGACTATCCACGAAAATTTTTTCAATGTAGAGGTTAGTTAACTTGTTTAATAGCTTTAATTTGCTTTTTGAAAGGTCTCCGTGGCACTATCGGTTACCGAGATATTCTTGGTTGAATGAAAAATTACACTTTCGCCTTTAAATATCGTTATATTTATAACTAATTATTGCACAGTAAATTCAAGGGTGGTTTTGAAAAACCAAATGAATTATCTGCAAGGACTTATCGTTGAGATTTTTATTATTTTTTTTTTCATTTTGATAATAATTACGTAATGTTTAGGAGAAAAAAAGTGTTCGTTTAATCCTTTGATCCCAAAACTTTGATCATTTGGAACCGAAAAACAGTTGGATGGATCAACTTGTCAATTATCAAAAAATTATCTCAATATTAGTCTTTTCATCAATATTTATAAGTTTGCGGTTTTCTGCGATGATTTGCGAAGATTTTCTAAAAAACCTTAAAAAGTAATTTTTTTTGCAGTCTTTCAAATTTTCAAAGAAGAAAAAAGAATTCTTCGGAAACCATGATTTCTCCTTTTTTGCAAACTTTTACTAAATCATGGCTTAATAAACACTTTATCATGTTTTTAAAACATAATTGAATTGAGCAATTTTCTGAAACTTAACTGATATAGGTACCTGTTAATTTTAATTTTATGTAGGTACGTTTATTGTAGAAAAAATAAAATAATGACACTTTAAAAAAGTTAAACAAAAACATATTGTACGCTCTCTATACATCAATAATAACATACATTGAATTTCGTTACAAACGATCAAATAATAACGGAGTTAGGTACTGAAAATATTAAAAATAGAAAATTTAACTTTGAATACCAATAACTTTTTTTTGTACATTTTTATGTCAGTAAAGTAACTAAACCATTGAGGTTCCCCAGAACCCGCCACTTAAGTATGTAACATCCTATATATTTGGTTTATATAAATACCTCCATAATTTATATTTATTGTAAAAAAAAACTGTACATCAAGTATCAAGTTACAAGTTATCTCGGCTCCAGAAACTCATTAAAAATGTTTTTTTTTTTTAATTCATGAATGTTAACGATTTCTTTCTTTAAAAGCCATTTTCATAAAATAACAATTGAAATGGTTAGATATTTGGAAAATACATGCCAAAGTTATTTTTTGATCCTTAAATTTAAAAAAATCGTTAATAGCTATTTATGATATACGTGTTAAAAGTAAGATTTTATTTTGTGAGTGAAGATGATTAAAAAACGAGCGTAGCGAGTTTTTTAACTTCACGAACAAAATAAAATCACTTTTAACACGTATATCATACACTATTTTTTCTACAAAACTGTTAAAAGTGGGCTTTTTAATTGTCATTTTTAACATCAAATATGACAATTAAAAAGCCCATTTTTAACAGTTTTGTAGAAAAAATTATTTAACCCATTAGCGGCCAAAGGTGCGTAAACGCACCCTTTTATTTTCATTTTTTTTTTGAGATCATCCGTAAAATTCTATGCTTTCCTACCTACAAAATCTTATGTCAACGGTCCCGAGAGT